GTGAAATAATTGAATATAAACATAGGAGGCTGATTTTAAAATGGTCATTTTTGAAGAAAATTTCAGATATTACTAATAGGCCTTCGCAACTGAACTTTATTTATATGCATATACATATGCACGGCTTATTGAGAGGGTGCAAATGGGGCAAGGTCAGCGTTCACATGAGGGGCTCCACATTCTTTCACACGTCCGTCTTAAATCAAGCATGACCACAGAATGAGTAAAAGACAGAGAGAGTGAAGCACGTGCAGCACAGAGGGGAGCGGGACCTAACAAACTCAGACAACCATCTGAACCACGAGTCCTTCACAGCTCACCTGCCCAAAAAATGTTATTTTACATAGTCTTTTCTTGTACAAAAAAAGTAGGGGTTGTTTCATTTGTTTTGTTTTGTTTTGTTTTAGAAATACATTATTTTATTTTTTATTTATTTTTAATTTAATTTTAATTAAGTCAAACTATTTTATTATAAGATATTATTTTAAAATCATATTTTTTGTGTGAAGCGCTCTGACAATTGAGTTTTGAAGGTGCTATATAAAAATAAAATATTATTATTTTATTTTATTTTAGTCAATAATTTTATTTCTAGACATAATTTTAAAATCATATATTTTTGTGTGAAGCGCTTTGAGATTTAAGTTTTATTCATTTTCTTATCGGCTTAGTCCCTTTATTAATCCGGGGTCGCCACAGCGGAATGAACCGCCAACTTATGCAGCAAGTTTTTACGCAGCGGATGCCCTTCCAGCCGCAACACATTTCTGGGGGAGATCCACACACACATTCACACACACACTCATACACTATGGACAATTTAGCTTACCCATTTCACCTGTACCGCATGTCTTTGGACTGTGGGGGAAACTGGAGCACCCGGAGGAAACCCACGCGAAGAGAACATGCAAACTCCACACAGAAACGCCAACTGAGCCGAGGTTCGAACCAGCGACCCAGCGACCTTCTTGCTGTGAGGCGACAGCACTACCTACTGCGCCACTGCCTCGCCCAGATTTAAGTTTTAAAAGTGCTATATTAAAAAAATTACTTTGTTTTATTTCGTTTTTATTTTAGTTAATTGTTTATTTTTTATAAATAATATAAGGCAACACGGTGGCTCAGTGATTAGCACTGTCGCCTGACAGCAAGGTCACTGGTTCGAGTCAGAGTTTCCCCTTGTGTTGGCGTTGGTTTCCTCTGGGTGCTTCGGTTTCCCCCACAGTCCAAAGACATGCATTATAGGTGAATTGAAGACACTAAACTGGCCGTAGTGTATGTGTGAATGAGAGTGTTTGGGTGTTTCTCAGTACTGGGCTGCAGCTGGATGGGCATCGGCTGTGTAAAACATATGCTGGATAAGTTGGCGGTTCATTACACTGTGGCAACCCCTGATAAATTAAGGGACTAAGCCAAAAGAAAATGAATGAATGAATGAAATAATATTAAAATCATAAATTTATTTACATTTACTCAGTTATTTAATGATTATGACTTCAACAATACAATATTTTAATACATGTCCTTCTAAAACTTCCCTAAGAGTTTACCTATTTATTTCAGAGGCCTGCCTCTTCTTTTATTGCAGGCAGTAACTCTTTTCAGAATGACACTCGATAGATACAACCACCTTTTATTACACTTTCCAATTAAACTAATAATAAACTAAATAAATCCATGCATATAAACACATAAACGCATTTCTAAACAAAAGTTTGAATATCTAATGTCTAAACTCTGATATCATTTATCTTTGCCATGATGACAGAACATAATATTTAACAAGATATTGCTCAAGATACTAGTGTACAGCTTAAAGTGACATATAAAGGCTTAACCTACCCTACCATGTAGGCAAGTTAGGGTAATTAGGCAAGTTGTGTGACGATGGTTTGTTCTGTAGACTATCTGGAAAAAATATTGCTTAAAAGGACTAATAATATTGACCTTAAAATGATTTTAAAAAATAAATAAAAACAGCTTTTATTCTAGCCTAAATAAAACAAATAAGACTTTCTCCAGCAGAAAAAAAAAATTATAGAAAATACTGTGAAAAATTCCTTGCTCTGTTAAACATCATTTGAAAATATTTAAAAAAAGAAAACAAATGCAGGAGCGCTGATAATTTTGACTTCAGCTGTATGTATACAATATGTACCATATGTCTACAATAGTGACTTTAAAGTATGTAAATATTGGAAAGTATCATTTCGAAAAACATCTGGGTAATAGTGAAAAAATATGTCAAACTGGACAATGGTAACTTTGCTCTTATGTAGTGATAAGAACAGAGTAACAGGGTGTGACGGCCTCAACTCTACTCTTTGTCCTGGTTATCTGTGGTATGAATGGAATGGGACATTTTTACAGGATCTCTTATCCAGCATGGTAGGGAATACGCTCTTGTGTTTTTATATGTACGTCCACGTGACGCTTCTTTAAAGGCTTGGGATGGTGAGGTCACAGGTTGCCAACAGTCACTTCAGGCATGAGGTTCAGAGAAAGACGTAAATCACCCGTGACTGGCTCCAACCAAATGGGGCTGTAAGTAATGGAAGGCTAAGTTCATTACTAAATAGACAGTTGCTCTGACAGGACATTCCACGATGACTGTGACTATGATAGATGCATTGAAAATCTTCGCTTTATGGCATTAACAGTCTATTGAATACACCGTTAAAGTTGATGGATCACTGATTATTATTCGTTCAGTCTTCACTATAAAATATGCTGCGGTACTCACAGCTGACATGTGTTGAGGCACTATGATGGTATTAAGTTAACTTATTAAGTATTGCAAATTTAAGTGGATTGAAAATTACACTATTACGTTGTCGCAAAAAAAACTCAAGAACTGTGTTGTTTCTAACCCAAGCTCATTATTAAAATGTACCCCTATATACACTTCTGGAGATCGTGAAATACGTCGCGGGAGGCAACTTTTTTCCAGTTTTTGTTTTCGTGAATCCACCAAAGGCTGCTGTGTACACTTTTTCAGATCCACCCCCTTCCTTAAACCCAACCCAAGTGTTTTCAAAAGCACAGATTGCCCCAATCTCTCAGCCCGGCGTTGACCAATCGTTTAAAAAAAAAAAAAAAAAAAAAAACATTTTGGCATTTTGGCTATTTGTTTACATGATGACACTTTGGGAGTATAAAAAGGGCACGTTTAAACACAGGATTCAAAGTGCCCGTTTCTGAAAACTAAGTGCACATGCAGGTTATTTGTTCTTTTTATGGATATACAGTAAGAGCCTAAATTATTAGTAAACTATTAGTAGAAAAGTAAGTTCTTTTTAAAATATCTCCCAAGTTTAGCAGAGCAAGTAAGGTCAAATTTCACATTATATTTTATTATATTTTATCCTCTGGAAAACATATTATTTATTTTGCCCAATCATTTTCCTAATTAAACCAAACATGCCTAATTTACCACATTAACCTAATTAAGCCTCTAAATTTTACTTTAAACTAAATATCATCTTGTACAATAAATAGAAAAATATTATGTACTGTCATCACGAATTTAGGGTTTGTTTACACCTGTAGTTCAGTTCTCTTGGTTGGGTCAGGACCAAACAAGAAAAAGATATATTTGGTCCTGGTATACATTGCATTCACACTGAGATTTTTTTAAGACTAAACCTAAAGGTAATAGAAAAATCAACTTAAAATAACAATTTACTCACGAGTTGGACCTCAACTATAGCTTTCAAGTATGATTTAATCTACAAAAAAAAAAACTAATCTTGCTAAATATTAAATTAATTTCAAAACAAAAAGTACAAATCTATGTTATAGAGGAATTTACTTCTTAATTACTTTTTTTTAGTTTATTTAACTGTTAATGTAGCCGTTTACACTATTTACTACATTCTTATTACTTGCCTATTATAAATACATTAATTGTTTATTAGCACTTAGAAAGTATGGTCTTATTTTACAACCCTATCAAATACTTAAACCCAACCACTTCCTTAATAACTTACTAACTATTAATAAACAGATCATTTGTAAATAATTGAGCTAAAAGTCTAAGTAAATAGTTTGTTAAAAGCGTGAATTGTACATTAAAATAAACTATTACCATGTATTTAACAAAACTGCCAAACACTTCCTGAAATTTCCACACTGTTACAAATTCTTGCTCCCGTCCTTTGTTTTAATTGAAATTTGATTTAATCTCAACTTACATCAATAAAACTGACTAAAACATTAAGCTAAACTTCGAATTACTTTATTAAATTAGTTGAATCCTGCGCTGTAAAAAAAGAAAAACAAGTTGATTCAACTTAAAATTTTAAGGCAACCAGCCTTATTGAGTCAAGTGCAGTACTTGGGTTGAAAGTTGAACTCAAAAAAAGTTCTGCTGCAAGTTGCCTTACAATTCTGAGTTGAGTCAACTTTTTTTACCCTGTGAATATTTTATTAAAATAGGTTAAAGCTACATTAATATATTTGTTGCCTTGACTTTTTGACTATTTTAGAGTGCAGGCTTCCCATGACCTTTTTTGTTAAAATGATCAATAAACAGATGAAGCATACTACCATATTTTAAGTAATTTAAACTATATTAATCTCCAGCATTTAACATTCAGCCTTATAGATAGCAAACATAAACCAGAACACTTGAAGAATATGGATGAAGGAACGAACGATCGAATATACTCTGTAAAAAAAAAATCTGGGTTCCACACAATCGATTTGTGTTGGGACAACATGAAGGAATTTAGTTAGCTTGTTACAAATTTAAGTAGATTGCACATAAAACAATTAAGTTGTCACCAAAAAAACTCAAGAATCGTGTTGTTTTCAGCTAATTTTTCAACTCAAGCAGACTGAACAAAGAGCAAACACCATTTTTGAGTGTATAAATATGTTGAATTGAAAGCAATTCGGAATAAAAATGTCAACACAAAAATGTAAACTTCACACAGCCAAGCTTTAAAAAATAAATAAATAAATCGCAAAAGGCCAATTAAACTTGTCTCCATCCTCACCTCAGTGCTGCTGCTCTCCTCCTCAGCCTCATAACTGCTCCTGCTGGTGAGTGGAGGTTTGCTTCCAGATCTTTCTTCTCCAACTCCTTGTCCACAGGTTCCTTTCCTTCTCAGCTTCTCCAATCCAGCCCTGTTTCTCCTGGAGCAGGCCTGAAGCTCTTTGCATTTGGGCAAAACCTCATTGCCATCATGGAAAACCACATCCTGGCCTTCATCTTCAGAAGAGGTCTCAAACGCATCTGAACTCTCGGTGGCTCTGGAGTTCTGGATCAAACCCAAAAAGTCATTGTAATCTGCAAAGGTAATGGAGCTGGGTTTGTGTTTGATGATTCGGGGTAGATCGGACCCTTTGGAAACTGGCAAAGGAGCAGAGTAGGGGTGCTTGAGGTGGGACGATCCCACTGGAGAGGATGTAAAAGAGTAAGCGGGGTTTGAAATGGATCTGATTTTTGAACTAGAGAAAGGGTAGGAGGTCAATGATACGTTTGAGGGATCAACATCAGCGTTGTTGGTCAGAGGACTACCCGAGGGAGTCAAAAAATGGCTTTTCATGTGAGATTCATGATTAATTCCGTTCAACTTGGGGTTTGGACTTGAAATTGAATCTGAAGCACTTTTGATGCATGTTTTAGTCTTTTCCTTTGTGAGATGATTTGAGATTTGAATACAAGGGCCGTCTTTGCTGATTTGTGAGGATACAGTTTGACTGATCTCTCTTTCCAGTGAACTTTTATTTTTCAGTTCCAGTTTGGTTTGGTCTTCCAAAGGATCATCTGTGATTGAGAGGGAATTAGGAGTGTTTTTTGAGGTCTGGTTACAAGCCTTGGTTGAGTCCGCCATTGAAAGCTCTCCGGAGAAAGTCATTTTGAGCGCTGAAGATCGTCGCTCCTCTAAAGCCATCATGGGTGGATTGTCCATGTTTCAGTCTACTGTTTGGAGCTAGGCATATGGAATATCCAGAAAAGTCTTTGTATTATTCCAGAAACTGCCATGTTTGTCATGTTCCACCATTTGGACTGAACGGGTTTCTTTGTGAAAGTCAGGGCTTTGTGTTAATCATGCTGAAAAGAAAGAACAGAAATTGTCATTAATTTAGCATTACATGCTTTTATGATTTTTTTAAATATGTGTTTGCTAATTTAGCATACGTAAAAACAGTGTTCACTGAAAAAAAAATCTTCTATTAATTTACCCTCAGGCCATTCAATGTGTAGGTCCCTTTTCTTCCTAATTAAAACTTTAAAGAAGATTTTAGCTGAAATTGTGGTCTTTGGGCATTCAGTTTAATCATTTCGCTTCCCAAGGCCTGAATGCAACATCAGGATCTGAATTAATTTTGTAATTGTTTTGGCCTTGTTTTTTTGGCTTTCAAAGGTTTGACAGTCACTTTAATGTTCTGAATCACAAACAACCACAGTTTCATTCTGAAACTTTAATATCCTGCTGAAGGCACTGGATTGCCTGAGGGTGAAAGTAAATTAACAGAAAATATATATTATTTTGGTAAACTATCCACTTTAAGAGCATCTAATCAACAGCTTAATCAGACTGGGAAACCAGAAATGCACCCCATAAGATTTTAAGTTATTTTTTTACATATTTTTGTGAGATAATATGGAACTGCAGAAGCATCATTACAACAAAAACTCAAAATAGATCAGTGCTTCTCATGGTATTTCATAGAAAAACCTTCGTATTTCACAGATAATTACTCAAACTAGGGATGCAAAATTGAATTTTTGACCAATACTGATAAATAAAACAAAATTCTTTATATTCAAAGGCTAATAACCGATATATTGGCCAATAAATATAAATATAAAAATTTCAACCTAGTAATAGGAAACACCTATACACTCATTCACAAATACACTCATACACTTTCAAAGGAAACCTACGCAAACATGGGGAGAACATCCAAATTCCCAGTACTGGTTTGCAGCTGGAAGGGCATCCGCTGCGTAAAACATTCATTCATTCTCCTTCGGCTTAATCCCTTTATGTATCAGGGGTCGCCACAGCAGAATGAACAGCCAAGTCATGCAGCATATGTTTTACAGAGCGGATGCCCTTCCCGCTGCAACCCAGTACTGGGAAACATCCATACACAACTCATTAACACACAAACACTACAGACAATTTAGTTTACCCAATTCTCCTATAGCACATGTCTTTGTGGGAGAAACTTCACGCAGAAATGCCAACTGACCCTGCTGAGGCTCGAATCAGCAACCTTCTAGCTGTGAGGCAATTGTGCTACCCACTGCGCCACCGTGACGCTCCCCAAACAGCATTTTTTTATGTATTGTATATGTAAATGTAAATATGAGGAGAAATCAGGACAAAAAGGAACAATGTATCATTAGGAAACCAAAAAAAAAAATTAAAGTTGTAAAACGCAAGAAAATCAATGGTATCACATCAGAAACTATTTTAGAACCTGAATGTCTACGAGCGAATCCCACAGAGCCAGAAAAGTGATAACGGCATCCCAAAGTGGCAGAGAGGGAATAACTGGGACTCTTGCACAAGTAGAGGAGGGAATAACAGGGGATCTGAGGGGTTGAACATCTGGCTCGGGCTGAGAGCGTTCAAGTCTGGATCTGTTGAAAGCACGACGGTGGTGACATCAGTGCTATGAGGAATCCAGCCCTTCGCTCTCCAGTGGCTGATTTACAATGCACCCGTCCATTCATCACACGACCTAAATGTCCCAGACCAGGCTGTGGTTAGCGATCCTGCTAACCCCCTCATTACCCCCCAAAACACGGTCCGCAAAAACACACATTAAACCAGAGGAAGAGTCTGATTGGTGGAGAAAAGAAAGAACATTCCTTTCTGACACTTTGGCTCAAGAACATCATCTAGACAGATGAACTGTGAAAGACCAAGATTATTCCTGGCAGGATGTTTCTATCGAGGGGCTACGAGCGTGAAATCATGCCACTCACTGGCGCTTTATTAAGACGTGATTGGTTTGCTTTGTCAGATTGATCAGTTTAAACGCGAAGTGTATCTGACAGGCCAGATCATTCCAGAGGCGAATGCTATCGTGTTGAAAGTGGCGGTGGAAGAAATGACTAATAAAATCTGATTTAAAAAAAAAATATAAAACAGAAGATTCATATGATTAAAAGGTTTACATATTTTGAATGCTGTACTTCATTTCCATCTTTTTTTAATCCTTAAATAGATTTTTTTAATTCCGGACAAAGATTAATCGATTAATCATATCAAAAATAAAAGTTTGTTTTAATATGAGATATATTCATTTATTCATTTTCCATTGGCTTAGTCTCTATTTCAGAGGTTGCCACAGTGGAAGGAACCACAAACACAGAGGATGCCCTTCCAGCCGCAACCCAGTACTGGGAAACACCCATACACACTCATTCACACACATGCTCAAACACTATGGCCAGTTTAGTTTACCCAATTCACCTATAGGGCATGTCATGGACTGTGGAGGAAACCCATGTGACTAAAAGTTCTATTCATTAATTCATTCATTTTCTTTTCAGCATAGTCCCTTTATTGATCCGGGGTGGCCCCAGCGGAATGAACCGCCAACTTATCCAACAAGATTTTATGCAGCGGATGCCATTTCAGCCACAACCCATCTCTGGGAAACATCCACACACACACTCATTCAAACAATACGGACAATTTAGCCTACTCAGTTCACCTGTACTGCATGTCTTTGGACTGTGGGGGAAACCGGAGCACCCGGAGGAAACCCACGCGAACGCAGGGAGAACATGCAAACTCCACACGGAAACGCCAACTGACCCAGCCGAGGCTCGAACCAGCGACCCAGCGATCTTCTTGCTATGAGGCATCAGCACTACCTACTGTGCCGCCTAAAAGTTATGTGTGTTAAATATATTCATTAAAACTTTTTTTCCATAGGTATTTAAATTTACATATAATCTGTTCAATATGCATACCTATTTTATGTCTACATAATCAATATACATAGTACACACACATATATTATGTCAAAATGAACTTTTATTTTAGATGTGAATAATCGCGATGACCAAAAATTTCATGTAGTCTGACAACTACATATGCATGTAATTAAATATAAGGCATGAAAACAGATATTCGCTGTTTTAACCATAAAAATGGCTACATATTTTAACCATATAAGTGATCTTTATGGACACAAACCAAATTACTCATTTATTTTTGTAATAGTCATTAATTGGTAGTTACAATGCGCTCAACAAAGAAAAACTATAGAGAGATGATTTAAAAATGTTAAAAAGACTACAACAAAACAAGAGAAGCATTACAAATTAAACTAAAGTAAAATAAAAATAGAAAATAAAAACAAACTTTGTTAATATTTATACTATTTTTCATCTACAAAAAAAAAACTTTTTTTTGGATGCAGTGATTTCATCATTTTTAATCCTTTTAAATATTTTCATATTTATTAAATATGAAAAATGTTATGTAGTCTGACAACTATATTTGCACGTAAAAGTGCTTTAAGTAGATTTTGACTCTTTTAAAGCCTAAAAATACCATAATATGTTTGCAGATATTTACTGTAGGAAACATGCTAAGTGAACATTCTCGTTTATCTAAAAAACAATGCTGAAGCTTTAAAAATCTCTGTTACATGCTGGAATGTCTGTCTTTGTTTTGGTTTACCCATTGCCAATTTAGCCAATCATATTTCAGAATCCCAGGTTGCCTTTGGGCAAAACAGTGTATTTTCAATTTTTCAGTCAGAAAAGCTCTCAAAGTATGAATCCGTGCGCCCTCAGTGGACAGTAGCAGGAGGACTCTGAAATAAGTTCTACATGAGCATATTAATAAGAAAATGATATAAATATTACGACCGTAAACATTAGGTGAGAAGGTTACATTGTAACCCCATGTCCTAACAACACGCTACGTGATGAGATTTACAGTGTTAAGCAATTTTGCATCATACGAAACACGACAGAAATTTAAATACCGCCATTCAGAAGCACAGAATAGTGCACTCACTGCACTCCAGCTAAATGGTAAGGTTTATAATTTAATTCATACATTTCAAACCTCTTTAACATTATCAAAATGACATGCTTATCACTGATATGTGTTGGCTTGCACTACGTCACAGTTCAAAAGTTCAATTTATTTATTTTCAAAATCTGAGGTAAACTATCTGCTGCTGCTTTCAGTATATGGCAATAAATGCCATTTAAAATGGCATTCAAACTCACTTTATTGGCATTAAACACTGAATAAAGCACATGAGGTGTACATGAGGAGATCATTGTCAGTTTATCAGTTTGTTAGCTGCAAGAAACAGATGTTTCTAAAATATACATATTTCAGGTGTTGTTTACAACAAAAACTTCTTTTAATATGGAAAATTCCTCTTATCGCGTACCATTGCTTTTATGTATAACACAATTTCATTGGCCTTAAATCAGCCTTTAGGCTCAATTATCAGGTTAGCTCATGTTGGTGTCGTCAATCTGCTAACCTGCACTTGACTGTGTTTTGATCCAGGAATGCAATACCTTCTTCAACCACTGGGTGTCAAACTTACAAACTGCACCTTCAGGGCTGGAGCAAGCTGAACTGCTGCTCTAGGCAGAGGATGATCACGCCGCCCTCAACCCCAATGTAAAAAACGAAAGTGACTGGTTATGAAAATGAAGTGAGGTGTCGCAGACCTCTACTCTGCCGCCCTATGCACGGATATAACTGAGGATGCGCGGGAGCTGAGGGAGGTGTCACGGACACCGCCCTCTCTATTCTGCTTTCCTATGCGCGGATATAACTGAGTGAGGACGCGCGGGTGTCTTGGACCTCTATACTGCCGCCCTATGCGCAAATATAACTGAGGACACAGGTGCTGATGGAGGTGTTGCTGACGCCGCCCTCTCTATTCTGTCGCAAATGCACAAATATAACTGAGGAAGCGGGTGGTGAGGGAGGTGTCGCGGACATAACTGAGGACGCGGGTGGTAAGGGAGGTGTCGGGGATGCCGCCCTCTCTATACTGCCACCCTAGGCGGCTGCCTAGGTCGCCTCTATGGACGCACCGACCCTG